CCGGTTAGTAATAGTCAAAATTGATGTAAGAATAATAAATAACGCTCGGGATAAAGAGTAATTTCAGTGATCTCCAAAATCTGGAGTTTTTCACATTTTTTCAAATAAAAAAATATTGTCCTCTTCTCCATCGGAACATGTAGAAAAGTGGTCCGGTTCCGCTGTGTCCACAGCAACGGAAATATGAGTATATGTCATGATTCTGTCTACGTAAACACGTGTTAGCCGTCACGTTTCCACAATAGAAACACAGGTTTTAGCAACACTTCCGTGACCGGAATTTTGTTTTTTCGTCCAGTGATATCAGCGAAGGGGTTAAATGAGATCTCAATACATATCTAGAAAATAAATTATATCAGAGAGGGAGGGGGTGAGGGGAAATCTCATTTAAGTAGCTTACCTAAGAATAAATTTTACCTGATGATTAAGTGGTTTCTCCTTTTTTTCATTGCAGATCTTTGAAGCGAATTCAGACTTGAATACCATTGTAAAACATACACTGAATAACCCAGTGCAAGCAAGATACATTCGATTTTATCCGGTCACCTTTTCTGGGTACCCTTGTATGAGGATCGAAGTGTTCGTGCAATAAAGAAGAAGATCAACAACAGGGCAATTTTTCTGCATGAACCCTCCTTAGTCTTGTATAATGGAATGGTACAAGTGTTGGTGAATGCTTTAAACAGCCAGAAATGGCCTAACTGTGGAAGTATTGAAAAGTTTTCAACCGTTTCTTGCGTAGTTTACGGGCCGTTTCCCGAAGGTTCCGATAACTTAACTGGCCCCGAGCTGTTCTGTTTTTATTCAAGATGGGGTTTTGAAAATTATACAATTAACATGTAAGCTACAGAAACAAAATGGACTGATTAGAGTATTAGAACCTGCTCTGCTAATCTTAAAATTCTGATTAAAAAATATTGCCACGGGTCCGTTAACGGAACTTTTGAGAAAGAGGCCCCTGGACCCGAACCTAATGTGGGCATGAAACGCAAGTCGCGTGTATTACATTGACAGTTGTTGTTTTAAGTTAATATTAAGTAAACATGAGAATTAATGTTCTTGTCATCTCAAATAAAAGATTTTTTATTAGCTTTAAAAGTTCCTCATTCAAGCCAGTAATTTATTATGATTTCTGTAAAAAACTGTCTTCCCTTGTCGTAACGAAAAAGGATCGAAAGGACAAACGAAAATATGATGTATTCGCAAGCAATGGACACAATTCTCAGTTTTAGGAATTAGAACCGGTTAGGAAAAAAAAAACATGTTCTATTATGTTTCATGCCCTTGAAAATATGTATATTTTGACTCGTTTTAGTGGTTGATATTAATTTGTTTAGAAAATCTCGAAGATGGCTAGCAGTATAGTTTGGACGAGCGACAGAACATGTAAGCTTCTCTTGTAGCATTGAAAATACCTTAGAAATAATTTGAAACGCAAGGCTATCGCCTTTTTTGCGAGACTATCTGCTTCTCATCGATGTCTATCATTTGCCATCGCCAAGAACTTTCTTATGACCACCATTGAAAGGACGAAGGGGAGATGTGTCAGTTAAAAAATCATGACAAGTGTTGCAATTTTCTAGAGCCACATAGCCACTCAATGGTTTTCTTTAATTCAAGTCTGTCAAAATATCAACTAACTTGCAGGAGTTCGTAATGATACTTTAAGCGTCAGAGACAATCGGGCTCTTTTAAATAGAATGAAAACTCCAAAAAAATCATGGGATACACAAAAACCCAGGGGATATACCTGTTCGAAAGGCGCGTGACACTGATCTAGGATTAAAAGTTCTGAAATCCCTTGTTTGAAAGTGTATATCATGTCAACGTTTTCAGAGGATGCCTCTTAGTTAAAATAAAAGTACTGAGGTATGAGCGGTGCTACTCAACGAAGAACAGTGAAAAGAGATGATGTTTTCCGTCTGGCCCTCTTACTTGGCCAGTAAGTATATAGAAAATTCTTATACTTCGTGCAAACCATAATGATGTGGACACGATAGAGAAAGCATCAATTAGTTATCAATTACGAGGCAGTCAAGGTTATGTCAAAGCAGAAGTTCCTTATTTTCCCACACTAGAAGAGTTTTCAAATGGATGGTAGGTTTTTCAAGTAAAAAAAAGAGGAGTATGAAAGAAACCAATAAGGTTGTTCGTTTTGATTATCGGGGCGTCAGTGGTCCAGTGGTTAGTGCGCTGGACTCTGGGTCGAAGGGCCCGGGTTCAAGTCCTACCAGGGGCATGTCGCTGTATCCTTAAGCAAGATGCTTTACCCACTTTGCTTCGTCTCTCGGATAAGACGTAAAGCCGGAGGTCCCGTCTCACAACCCTTCTATGTTACAAAAATAAATTGTGGGACGTAAAAGAAAGCACGCACTGTTCGCAAAGAGTAGGGCACGTAGTGCCCGGTGTTGTGGTCTATCTCGATTTGTGCCGTCGTAGATCTGGGTGGGTGAGGTGTGATCACAATGGACTGAAGCGGCTGCCAGAGGCGCCTTTAATATGCTGACGTCCGATCTCACCTCTCTGGTTCCTCTGCAATTCAGCCCTTGGCTGCAAGTGAGGAAAATTGGCACCATTCATCTATCTATCATCATCTATCTATCGGAAAGTAAAGCGTAATAGCCTATTAAAAAGATATACGTTTGCGAAAGTTTGCAAAGAAAAAAAGAGTTCCCTGTATTCCTTATTCAAAGTACAGACCGTGCAAGTGTGTACTCAAATTATGACCTACTAATGATATGCTACGAGATGCAGTAACAGAAAACACATCTCGTATTCACTTTTCACATGTGAGATTTTACCAAACCACAAATCGACAATGATAACAGGATTAAGAAAGAAACATATTGAATAAGCATATGAAAAACAAACAAACAAACAAATCTGCGCGTTCATCTTCTGTCTTTGTCCTCACCACCAGACGAATCTTCCCCTACCTAAGACGAGTGTATGGAATTCATCAACAATATTTCTTTTATCACCTCTCACTTAAAGTGCTGTCCATAAGCATTCGACGCTAGCCAAATCCATCTGGGGCGCCTATGCGCGTGATAAGTGACCTATATTGATACCGTTTCATGATAGTTTCCAAGGTAATTTTCCTGATTGACAGCCACAGCGAATTCGAACTACTGAGTTGGATATCATATCATCAAGGAAGCTTATCAAGTTTACAAGGATACTTCACTTGTTCTTAGAAACGGTCTTCTTGGCTGTTAGCGTTTTGTCATTCTAAATAAAAAAATTCAAGATAGCAGGAGGGGGGGGGGGGGGAAATAAACTTGTTAGTTATCAGATAAACGCAACTTTTGAAGGACTGGTAACATGCGGATTAGGTTTGATTCTTCTAAGTGTTTTTGACCTTTTTGTTGCATCGATGATTTAAACTAAAATAGACAAGTACCGGGAGAATCATTCATCCTAACGACTACATTTTGCTCGTAAACGAACAGTGAAAATCCTAAAGGGGGTAAGTTTATAAAGAAACTGTAAGACTGCGTCGGTATTAGAAAATAACTTGATTTTATCGACTGATTTGATAGTGCATATAAATCAATCATCGTAAACAGTTTTTACAGCTGACGTTTTGAGCGATAGCTCATCGTCATTCGCTCTAACGAAGGGTTAGCAATCAAGAGGTCAGCTTTACAAACCATTTACGGCGGCCATCTTACATTATCAACTCAGTTAATAGAACCAAATTATCATGAAAATCAGTATATTTTCAGGACAAATAATCAGCCTACGTGTAGCCACACAGAAGCGAGAGAACGTGTTACCTCGCCTCCGTTTCACCGTATATAAGAGGTGCAGGGAAACCGGGTTCCAGTCCACAGAATATTACCTGCCTATGAACTCAACACGGCAATTGACTGCCAACCCAGTAATAGCTTTTACAACCGATGGCCAGTTGCATTATTCAAACAAAAATGGATTTTTTACAAATTTGGCTGACTTTTTTATTTGCCTTTATTTCAGTAAAGCACAATAAGTTGCAAATGATTCATGGATGCTATCACATTAGACAAGAATCCAGCGCCAAACAAAGTATGTCACCAGAAGGACAGCATAATCAGTCATAATTTATGCGTCCACCGTACTCTATTCGGAACGCTGCTTTATTCGGCATTTTACAGACCCCACGTTGGCGAAGTAACCTGCCCAGCCCTGATCGAAAATAGCCCGCGTTTACATTCCGTCTTACAACCCGGGATCTCGGGCAAGGGAGAACAATAGAGTGCATGAATCGAGTCTGATTATTGAGATGGGAGCCAGCGATGAAGCATGAAATATAGAAAACAAAATTTTATGATAATTCGAGTGTACCTTGCACGGGTTGAAGGCTGACATAGTGCACCTCATGAATATGTCCCAGCACAAGAGGTTTGCTTTCGTCAACGGCACAATGTGGCATAATGATTACATCATTGCCATGGGATAGACTGCTGACCACACGAATGCACGTTTTAAAGTGGTTCGCTGCGGCACACAGAATCACGTGATCACCCCAAGTGCCATCTTGTTCCATTTGTTCAAGGTACTCAGTCCATGTTTGATGTCCATGGACAAAGTGAAACAGATCTGTTCCATCCGGCTGTAAGAAGAATCAGTTAAAGAAGGAAACTTCAAAGGATTGTTGATAGAAACTTGAGCGCGTGGAGTACGAGTCAGGGAGTAATTTTATCAGAATGGTACGAGACGAACTTTAATTAGCAATTTACTGCATAGTAACAAATTGTGTGCTTGAAAAGTCTTTTAAAACGTCCGTGTATATTCCAAAACGCTTTTCAAACAGCAAGAAAACAACAAAAAAGATCCATCATTAGGAGAATGACTAGAATTCTGTCATCTGATGGAGGTTTAAATGGAACTTTTTTGAAACTTGGTTATATTCTAATGACTAAAACTGTGGTGGCCTGCTTCTTCGGACAACAAATTACGTAACACATGAATTTAACTGTAACCAACGCCATTGAGGGTCTTCTTAAATCATGAATTTAAATCTTTCAAGTTCCCCTTTCCACCAGGGATACAAGCTGGTATAAGGGCTCCTGAAGAAAAGACCATCATTACATACAGGAAGAGTAACAGTATTTTTGACCACTTCACCTTGAGAACACTGGAATAGGTTATGGTGGTGTTGGCCAAGTGGCCTGTATTGTCACTAAACCTTTATCATACTCTTAAAATAACATCACTTGACATACTCTGTTAGACATACTAACATCAACTTACAAGTTTTGGGTTGCTCCTGAGGTACTGAACCAAGTTTTGTCTTAATTCGCCATGTGGGATTTTGATTCCCTTAACAATTTCCAGTTGTTCGGACAAGGCATAGAACATGCAGTTTCCTAATCCTTCATTGTCAGATATTCTGAAGCCCCTGTCTGATGCAATATTCCTCAGCCCCAATGATAGATCTGTTCTGCTCTTGACTCTGCTTGCATCAAGTTGCATCTGCCGAAGTTCCTGGATGATTCGGTCAAGAGAACCTAGAAAAGACAAAGTTCCTATTAATCTAACAGCATGAAAGAAGCGAAAATAACACAATCCTCAATCTAGTACGAGAAACTTTGAGGTAGTAAGAAAAAGAACGGCTTCAACCACCAGATTTCTACTGTTTTGTCCAGAAACTCAGCTTTGAAAAGGAAGCTCTTACTGTTATTTAAGTCACTTTTTAAGTTCGATATCTGCCCGTGAATGAATACACTAATAATCAAGAGAGAAGAAGCAGACGAGAAAAATTAAGGACAAGGTCTAAGCTCTGACATATCTGTGTAACTGGAAAAAGGAATCCTGGAAAAAAAATTACAGGCTTCAAAAATATATTGATGTATTTCCTCTACCGTATGAATATGTGATTACTACAATATTGTGTCAAAAGACGACTGCATTGTGAATAGAACATAAACCGGTTTTGAGAGGAGCAGCATATTGAACTTTGGTCTCGTTTTGACAAAAAGCAAAAGGGTGCCCCAAGTCTTCCTGGTTTAGACAATTTATGGTAGTTTCCAATTAAAATGGGATGAAAACTTTAAATGAATAGAAGAAACAAAGAACACTAAGTCGTCCGTCCGGATCAGAAAGTGAAAGAAAATCAAATTTGTTTATACAAGTCTTACGTTTGTGACTGAAGAGTGCAGGAGTATAATAAAGAACATGTCTCATTAGTAAGAAACGTTATCAAAAGTACCTCACGAAGTTTTCACGAAGCATAGCAGGCCTGAAGTCTAAAGTTAAGAAAATAAAATCGGAGGATCTCCTTGTAATCTTCTGTACTTCTTTAGGGATGTCAATTATCGTGTGTTATTAATATATTATTACTCACTTGGATTCAGTAATGAATCCACTGTTAGTTGTTCGGTTGACGTATCAACAACTTCGACCTGCCGAGCTCTGAAACTTGTGTCTTGTCTTTTGGAAGCTAAAGAGATAGAAAGAAACTCTTATCTTAACATCGCAGTAAACAAGAAGATAAAACGACTGATTACTATTCATGTTTAACATCTTTTTTATACGAAGTGTTCATGCTTTCCGTCACAGTTAAAAGAGACCGAAAGCCGAGTATCCCCCCTAAAACACTATAAAGGATATTGAAAACATTCTCACCATGAACTATGTCGAACATCTTGTCCACAAGACGGCCACACTGTTTCTCCCAGCTAAACTTCTCTTCATATGAACTCCTCAGCTGCTGAATATCTCGAAGTCGAACTGATCTTTCCTTCTGTCGGACACCAAAAATTGCCTCTGCCCACTCCTTGGGGTCCTCAGACTCCACCACGAATGATTTGCCCGATGGTAAAGAGCACAGTGCTTCACCAAATCCTGAGTTTTTACTGACAAGAATGGGAAGACCGGCAGACAATGCCTCCAACGCTGTCAAACCAAAACCCTCTGTTCTAGAGGGCATGATGCAAAGATCAACTTCACAAAATAATTCTTTCAATCCCTCTTTACTTTGCATGAACTTCCTCACGGTCACCTGGTTTTTATCAATTCCACTCTCGAGTAAATTCTTTGCTACCTCATCCTCAGCGTTCTTAGCTAGTTCCTGCATTACAATGAGCTCGATAACGGTGTCGTAAGAAAACTGATACCGAATAGTTAACATTTCAATTTTTACATTCGCCTGCTTCCCGAGATTTTTTTATAGTGGCAGCGAACTCAAATTTTTGCTTAAGTCCGTTAATCCCAAACTTCATTAACCAGTCGCGTCTTTGAGCTTCTGCAATAGAGTGTAGATGCGCTGCTCCTTGGATACCAGCCTCTCGGTCACTCCTCCGTGGAACAAGACACGACCCACTCTAGCGATTGGACTCTTTAAAACTTTAGAAAACCCCCCTTTTTTTTTCGTCTCACTCAAATTTTTGCTTAAGTCCGTTAATCACTTAAGTAACTTGTAAAAATGAACAATGTGAATCTTACGTGTAAATCTGGTGGTTAGAGTTTAACATTAAAAATTTGGTTGTTGCAAGCTTTAATTCAATGTATAATGTAAAAATTTTAGATCTAGATGTCTAAAAAGCTGGTGATTGCAAGCTTAAGGACTAGGACCGCAAGAACCGTTCCAGGTCCTCACTTCTTAATCTGCGTTTAAAACCTAGATTGAGTAACAAAGTTTAAAAGAATCGTCCAACTGGCTGCATGAGGAAACCATTCAATAATTAATTGTTCTCTGTCCAAATGCTGTTTTAAACTTAAGAAAAAACATGAGACAGGAAAAACCTAATATTTTTTTAAATTTTTCTCTTCACCATAGTTTTTAATATTATCTCTTCCCCTTATATCGAGCATGATCTGCACTTCCCCCTCCTCCCTCCCCCTGCCAGAAAAATCTATATCGAGCTCGGTTGCCCAGGAACAAATATTATTCAGCTCGGTCGGACACGAGCTCGATTTGATTCGAGCGCGATTACCAAATCGAACTCGATTTGATTCGAGCTCGATTACAAAGATTGTGACTCGAGCTCGGGTAGGCTTTCGAGCTCGAGTCACTTATATCGAGCTCGGTTGCTCAGGATGGTTTGAGTTAAGAGTAAGCAGCTTTCTTGTAAACGACACAAACGCGAAATGACAAGACCTTAGCATGACGCCACAGCTCGTTTAGCAGAAACGCTACAGCTTTCTCGGCTTTTATGACAACAGTCAATCACAGTTGCTGCTTACAGTTATAACCAAGGCAAAGGATAGTCAGCAAAATAAGGGGGAAAAGGCCTAAAAACAGTTGAAGAAACAACGCAGAATCGAGGATTTCCAAATCATTTATTTGACACCTTTAATGTAGCAGAAGTTGAATAATAATAAAGGGGTAAGTTTCTAAAGAAACTGTGGTGCTGTGTCGGTGGGAGAGTATAGCAGGTAATTTAGTGTTAACAACTGGGTTGAAAACGTAAATTAGCCACCGTAAAAGGTAAAAAAGCTGACGTTTCGAGCGTTAGCCCTTCGTCAGAGCGATTAGCATAATAGATTGCGGCTGCTTCGTTCCCTAGTCGTCTTCCAACGAGGTGCGCATGGTGAGATGGGTAGGACCCTTTGCTCACCTTGCCCATGATGCCTAATCTTTGCTGATGATATACCTCTCATCAGATGTTGTTTTTTAACACCATATACCTCCAAAATGTAAAAAGAGTTACTTCAACCCATTTACAGGTCTCATTATGTCATTATTCCACTGTTATGCCACTCAAGTTATCCTCACTGCTCTGACTGAATTTACATTTTCTTCCACCTTTCTTTTCATTACACAGTCTTGAAGTTATTAAATCGTATGCCCGTGGCCATGCCATGATGAAGGTGGCCGACGGCCTTCCCAGTGGTGCCCAGATCTTAGAGCATTTTGGCGGACACAGAAAGAAGAAAGTTTTTTTGTACCTCCCTCCTGGTATTTCTTTGACTGCTAATTGCATATTATATAAACATTAACTATGATCTATAAGCTACGTCAAATGATTATGTCATACTTTGAATACTAATACAAAAGCCTTGACCATAAAGCACACAACTAAGTGACAAGTGCAGTCGAAAAGTGTGAGAAGACTTCTAAACACGCTCCAACCACTTCTTTTTGTACTTCGTAACCCAAGAAAGTTCGTTCAAGCCATTGTTATTTGATCTGCGATAAAGTTTACATTTCATTTCTAAAGAAATTGGCTCATGACTTCAAGTAATTTTGTCGAGTATATTTCTCGTGAAATTGCAACAGACATTATGTACTTTCACAAGTTTCCCTCTTAAAGAGCACATCCATTCCTTCAATTCCTTATCCTGGAGACATACTTTTTTTATGGGCCACTTTCCCTCTTGGCTTGCAAAAAAGCAAACTGAACTATGGCCTTAAAGCAGCCTGTGATGTATTGGTGCAGAGTTTCCATCTTCACACTAGGAAACGTAGAAAAACGTAAAAAACACAATTATTCTAGCGACCTCTAATCTTATTATTCGATTTATCCATAGCCAACACAATGAATTCAAACAGCCAAGCAAATACTAGTTCAGCCTCTACTAGTGCATGTAAGTTGACTTAACATTCCATAAACATGCAAACAAGAACCCAATGAAGCTAATTAATACAATACTAGAATCAATATTGACATCTGACATAAAAAACACCATTATTATAGCCACCTCTGATGTTATCCTTTCAATTCATCCACAGCCAACACTGTTAATTCCAACAGCCAAGCAAATACTAGTTCAGCCTATTCTGGTGGATGTAAGTTGACTTAACATTCCATGAACATGCAAACAACAACCCAATGAAGCTAATTAATACAATACTGGAATAACTATATTGACATCTTACGTAAAAACACAATTATTATAGCTACCACTGATGTTATCATTTCGATTCATCCACAGCCAATGCTGTCAGTTCCAACAGCCAAGCAAATACTAGTTCAGCCTCTTCTAGTGGATGTAAGTTGACTTAACATTCCATAACAGGCAAACAGTGAATCAGTGAAGATAGACATCAATTGCTGAGGACCATTCCATTTAATAGACACACCACCCTTACTGATGGAAAAAGTCACAATTTATACCCAAAGGAAAAAAAATACCAAAGGCTAACTGATGCTTCACCCCCCGATATAAAGTTCTTGACCTCTTTCAAAAAAAAAAAAATCAATTTATATCCCAACCTTTTAGAATATACGATAAAGATAAAAGATGCCCTATAGCAACCCCGCCCCCCCAAAAACTTATTTATGGGGAACCTCTGAGAGCAGATAAGGGAGGTGGGGTCCACAGGGTTCCCAGCTTAACATGAAGAAAACTATCATTATTCCTCGATTTCAACACCTGAATCAAACATCTGTTCACTGCTATTATTGACTGCTTACCTTTGATCTTAACATTTTGATCCGTCCACAGCCAACAATACAGCCTCTATTGTGACTAATGCAAGGTCTGGAAGGCCAATAATGACCCCAGATGTGTCCAGCTTACCTCTTCCTACAAGTACAAATGGATGTGAGTTAAATATTAAACAGTGTCATGGCAGTTGCAGTAAAACAGAAGCAACTAACCTCATAAACATAGATTAAACAAAGACTTTATATACTGTATAAAGTGTATGAAGTGTAAAATTTGTAAATTAAATCAATGAAGGATGGTGTGATGCTCAAAGGAACAATGTGTATTTTAATTATGATAGTTACGCAGGATTCCTTTGAGCAGCACACTTCCCTTCCCTTGTTTTACTTGCAGGTGTCCTTCTTTGGGAATTTTCCTGCCAACAACAACAACAACCTTACTGCAACTGTAGTAGGTAAGAAAACCTTGATTTTCATTAACCTGTAAAAGAAATAGCATTCTTAGTCCACCAATGAAAATGCTTGTAGAACGATTACCACCCCCTGGTGATACATAGTTCATGATATGACAGTGACCCACAAAATATTATTTTGTTTGAATAATAACAAACTCAGGGTTTCAGCTAAACATAAAAATTGTGAACAAGAAACACATAGAACCAAGTAATTCAACATTTTCTGTATGATCATAGATGAAAGCCAAGCTGTGGGAGATGCAGAGAAAGAAGAAGAGACTAAGGAAGAAGATCAAGAAGAAAGGCAGGAAAAAGAAAAGGAAGAGGAAAAAGAAAAGGAAGAGGAAAAAGGAGTACGTAATGAAGAAGAAACATTGGAAAATGGAGATAAAGGAGGGAATGGAGGAATACCAGCTGGAGTAGTGGAAAAAGAACATGAGGAAATGAAAGGAGAGAGAGAAATTAAAGAAAAAGAACAAGGTACAAAGAAAAGAAGGAGGGACAGGAGGACAACGGCCAAAAGAAAGAAGGCAAAAAAGGACCCTTCAACATAAGAGAAATTCGGTAAGATTATGAGTACACAGAGTGTAAAAGTGTGATACAGATAAATGCTGCAGCATTTAACACAAATTTAAACTTTTTATGTAATGTGTGCCACAGTGAAAAGCTTTCAATCAAAAGTCTGTCAAGGAAAAACAAGAATATCAAAAATGGATTATGTACATAGGCTAGTAACAGTTGGCTTTTGTTCCTGAAATCAAACATGCTGACTAGAGATTTACCATTATAAATAGCAGAACAATTCTATGATGATTTGTAAATACATTGATTTTGTTTTTGAAGGATTGTGACGGCACCTGGAATTGAGAACGACGAAAATGGCAGACTTCATATTAGTTAATTTATTATTCACCCCCTCAACTTCTATTAATTTCATGAACAGGTCATAAAATGTTCAATTCAGTTAAAAAAAAAGTGAAATAGCATTTTTATAATGTCTAATTGTACAGCCAAAAATGTCTTCCTTGTGTTTTTTTGTCATGACTACCAATTAAAGATATGGCTTTTGCAGTCTATAAAGAGGGTTAGGTCAGGCCGTTTAAAAACCAAGGTTAGATCAACAAGCATTCAAGCATTGATCATTTTGTTAAAAGTGAACTGTTGCAGTTGTTTAATGGCTTTTTGGTGGATCTATTAACACATTCATAACTGGATTGAACATTTTAAGACCTGTTAATAATGGAAACCTCTTTTCTCTCAACTATCAAACCAATTCCTGAAAATTACTCACTTTTCACAAAATTGGCAAATCTGTCTTCATCTAGCAACATTTAATCAATCTGGATTCAAAAATACATTTCTTTCACTGATAAACACAGCTTGAACTGTATGTTTATTTTATATTTAAAAATTTAGCTTCTTTTAACAATTACATTAGCCCGCCACACTTTCTTAATTTCGTGAAATGTCGTCAATCAACCATGGTCTCTGATAATGCATATGTTCAGTATAGTTATTATTATTCTTCTTAATATTTGATTGCAAGAGATGAACATACATTACTTTTCAGACTATTTTTTTGTCATATTCTCCAAAAGATTTTCATATTTCATTAGAGTTCTGTTCCTTTTCCTCGTTACAAACGACCAATTAAAATAGAAACACGAAAGTGTATTGAGCTTATATAATAAAAATAGAATGAGTGTATTGTTGCTTGTTGTTATGTATACTTTTTTGTGGGATAAACTTGGGGTTGGTAAAATGGAGGGAGACACTTTCTTATTACACAACTGAGATTTAAAATAACCGAGAAACGTACACTCCAGGATTGAGCTTAAGTTTGAAACTGAACAAAACGTTACTAGAAACTATGAACCAGCAACTCGGAACACCCTCCCGTAAAGAGCCAATGCTCACCTTAGTGTCATTTCCTTCATCTCCTTAGCAGTATAAATCATTCTTTGCTCTTCTTCTGTCACTCTTCTTAATTTCTTTCGAATTCGACCGAAAACATACTCCTAAAAAGTCCCGAATTCACGAACTAAACTCGACAAATTTGCCAGAAACATGGCCACTCTCGCTCGTCCCATGCTCCCTCCCAAGTCTTGGTACCAGATTACCTCTCATTTGCTGAATGAAGATTTAACCGAGCTCGATACCAAATCGAGCTCGATATGAAACCTATAGAATGCGAGGCAAACCGTGCTCGATAGAATACGTGGCAAACCGAGCTCGATAAAAATAACTGAGGTCGATAAGAGCAGATTGAGTTCGTCGAGCTCGTCTTTTTAATCGAGCACGATATAGTTGAATCGAGCTCGAACATAATTGACTGCATTTCGAGCTCGTTGAACCGAGGTTGGTTTGAAATGGTACTCGAATTGCTATTCGAGTACGGTGAACATGAATCGAGCTCGGTTGCCCAGATACTAAATGTGGTCGGACCACATTTAGTATCTGGGCAACCGAGCAACAAGACGAAAAACCCTAACAAGCTGGAAATTTGTAAAAAGTAAGTCTTCAACAGTTCTTATAACTAACCGAACTAAAATCTCAAAGGGATTGATAATTCCTTATTTTCTAATTTTGAAGACGTGACGTGAAAACCAGATAAAGCGCGCTCGCGACTGAAACTATTCCTAGCCTTCAGTGTGGCATCCCCTCAGTGAGAATGTCATTATAGAGGACAGCCATCGATAATGGAGTGGGTTAATAATAACAATAGCAATCTTTCATCAGGAAAATTTCATTACATCACTGTGGTTTTCAGAAAGGTCCTAGGAGACTTGGCAAGAGACTTGGGAACCCCTTTAGAAGACGACCTAAATATGAAGGACTAAGCCGACTAGACAAAGCATCCCATTTACTTCACGACCTTACTGAACAATTCAGTGATAAGCGTTCCAATTACCGCCGATACCAGAACCTAAACAAAGGAAATTAATTAATTAACCGCACAACGGAAATGTTGACCTTTAAAAGCTAATCATACTCTCGTTGTAATCTGAGGTTAATTGAGCAGCTTATACTATAAAGAAGGAAAATTTTAACTGTGACAGGCCGTCATCGAAGATCTCATATTCGGTAAAATGCCTCATCAAAAGGGATTGATAATTTCTTATTTTCTAATTTTGATGACGTCACGTGACTGAAACTCTTTCGAGCCTTTAGCGTGGTGTCCCCTCCGTGAATATGTCATTATTACAAAGGACAGACATCAATAATGGAGCAGGTTTAGGTAAGAGACTAAGGAACCCCTTAACGTGACGACCTAAATATGAAGGACTAAGCCGACTAGACAAAGCATCCCATTAAATTCACGACCTTAATGAAGATTTCAATAATAAGGGTACCAATTACCGCCAATACCAGAACCTAAACAAAGGAAATTAATTTATTAACCGCACAACGGAAATATTGACCTTTAAAAATCACACCGTTGTCATCAGAGGTTATTTGAGCAGCTTACACTGACAAGGAAACTTTATTACGACAGACCGTGATCGAAAATCCTTTAGTCCGTAACAATGTCTCATCAAAAGACCGAAGTGGTTTCCAAGTCCAACGAATTAACTTTTCTGAGGACAGTGGATTTGGAATGCTGTATTTGGTGAGTTGAATATCATTGCTGGCTGTCATATTTTGCCATCGTTTTTGTTACCGCTCATTTCCAGTGCTATTATACCGCCACATTCCTTTTCAGTTATAGCATCGTGTCAAGGCCCGTTACCCTTGCCTGTGGGCACTCTGGCTGCAAAAATTGCATGGAAACTTGGGCAGAATCGACAGCCACACCGTTGTGTCCCCAGTGTCGGGCAACGTTCCGAAAAGAAGAGCTGAGGTTAAATGTGGCAATGGATAAGGCGACCCGAGATTTGCCTGTTAAATGTAACAGCCAAGGCTGCCAGTGGAAGGGCAACTATAGCGATGCCAACGATCACCTCAGACATTGCCCAAAAGTACGAGAGAGGTGCCCCAACGAAGGATGCCAGCACGTGGCGGCACGGGAAGAAATGACAGCACACGCTTGCCCAAAAGAAAGGATCGCATGTTCAGGATGCCAACTGAGCGTAACCAGGGAAAGACTCCAATTCCACCGTACATCTTTATGCAGAAACTCTGCAGTTCTATGCCCCTTGAGATGTGGAGCATCATTACCACGGTATGTTGTATTAATTAGGATAATTCAGCATTGCGATATTTTGGTGTTAGGCGATTGTCATAAGTGAAGTATTTTTCGGTAATTTTTAGCATGAATTGCAGTATTGCTGTATTCTCTTATCATTTCAATCGTCAATAGCAGGTGACAAACTTATCCTTCTGTTATCCAAATCGAGGACTACGAGCAGTCCTAACTTGTGTCTGGTGCCACGCGATCAGCTGCATTCCTTAAAAATAACTGACAGAGAGGAATTAAATTTCATAAGCAAGAAACGATTTGAGAAACAGAAATAATGCCTATTTTTCAGTGGGGATCTAAGAGAGGGGCCTAGTGATACTTCCAATTACTTTAAGTCCCCCTGACCACCGCTCTCCCCAAAGCCCCAAAGTTTATATCAAGGTCAATTAATCTACAGAGCCAATTGGCGTGACCCTTGAGGTGTCATGTTTTTCCCACTTTTTTTTTTTTTTATCAAACCACTGTTGGAATATATGATACCAGTCAAAATGGAAGATCTAGAACTAACACATACCTCTTTTTGAATTGTAGAATGAACATCAACCTACATCTACACAAATGCCCAGAGAAGGCTTCAATGTGCCAAGTACCTGGCTGCAAAAAAATTGTGAAAAAGAAGGACATGAATGTCCATTTGAAGGAAGCAAGTACCTCGCATTTTGCACTCCAATCAGGAGAAATCAAACGACTGCGAGGAATAATATACTACAAGGTAAGCTGCCTTTTCACCAACCTAAAAATCAATAAAACATGCACTCTTTTAAATGCCAAAACCAGCGAAGTAAGTGGAAAAAAGGATGGCAACTGTTGCATTTACCTTCAAAATCTTACATTGAAAATCTTTTTCTGGTGCATTTCATAATATCCATAAAATCCATTTCTGTTTCAGAAATGCAACATAGAACCCATAGAGCCCAAAGTGGAAAGGGTTGTCTCCTTTTGCTGGAGAATTCCAAATTTTGTGGAGAGCAGGAGACAACAAGCTTCAGATGCCATTGGAGACAAGCCCCTTACAAGTGGGCCATTTATAGATGACAACTGCAGATGGAGAGGACTGTACTCCGGACAACAAAAATTGTTCCTGCAGCTGCTCTCAGCATTCCATCCAGTTACTGGGGAAATTCAGTAAGAACTTTAATTATTTCATGCAGAGTGTTTGTGAGTGCACTTAAAGGAAAATGCTACCCTTGCCTTCTTTCATGTCCCAAGAGTGACCAACACTATTTTCATCACAAATCGAATTATACTAAACCAGGAGAAAAGGTTATGAGAATTTGTTCATAGATTGTCAAAGGGAAATTGATATTATGTTTGGAAAAAAATCACCTTTATAACTAAGGGGGCTTTAGAAGAAATGATGCATAACACTAAATTTGCTGTCTGTGTGTTGCATGAAAAAAACATTTCATTGTACCTATTTGTATATGACTGTGCCAGAACTTGCTTACAGCTGTGTTCAAAGCCAAACCCACCCATGTACTACTCCTGTTTAAGCTGAGAGACAATACGGATATCTGGCATAAAAATACACAATGATTGTTGAGTGGAACAATGTTATGATATGTAAATATATATTCTATTTTCTTTTTGAAGAATTGTAATGGCCCCTGGAAGTGACAATGAACAAGTGCTAGACTTGGACATAGTGTCCCTGAAGGAAGGAGAAATGTGGGGTAGGAGGATACCAAATGTGGACAGTCTACTGGACGGAAATGGCAGCCTTGATGTTAAATTTATTATTTACTACTTCAACTTGTACTAATTTCATGAACAGGTCATAAAATGTTCAATTCAGTTATTATTATTTTTATTAACCTCTTACTTAACAGTCATAAATTTCTTGCTTATTTTTTTTGTCATGACTGCAAATTAAGAATATGGTTTTTGCAGTCTATAAAGAGGGTTGGGTCAGGCCGTTTAAAAACTAAGGTTAAATCAACAAGCATTGATTATTTTGTTAAAAGTGAACTGTTGCAGTTGTTTAATGGCTTTTTGGTGGATCTATTAACACATTCATAACTGGATTGAACATTTTAAGACCTGTTAATAATGGAAACCTCTTTGCTCTCAACTATCAAACCAATTCCTGAAAATTACTCACTTTTCACAAAATTGGCAAATCTGTCTTCATCTAGCAACATTTAATCAATCTGGATTCAAAAATACATTTCTTTCACTGATAAACACAGCTTGAACTGTACTTTAGCTTCTTTTAACAATTACAGTAGCCCGCCACACTTTCTTAATTTCGTGAAATGTCGTCAATCAACCATGGTCTCTGATAATGCATATGTTCAGTATAGTTAATAATATTCTTCTTAATAAACATGAACATTCATTACTTTTCAGACTTTTTTTTTTGTCATATTCTCCAAAAGATTTTCATATTTCATTAGAGTTCTGTTCCTTTTCCTTGTTACAAAAGACGAATTAAAATAGAAACACGAAAGTGTATTGAGCTCATATAATAAAAATAGAATGTGTGTATTGTTGCATGTTGTTATGTATACTTTTTTGTGGGGTTTTTGGGGCTGGTAAAATGGAGGGAGACACTTTCTTATTACACAACTGAGATTTAAAATAACCGAGAAACGTACACTCCAGGATTGAGCTTAAGTTTGAAACTGAACAAAATGTTACTAGAAACTATGAACCAGCAACTCGGAACACCCTCCCGTAAAGAGCCAATGCTCACCTTAGTGTCATTTCCTTCATCTCCTTAGCAGTAGAAATCATTCTTTGCTCTTCTTCTGCCACTCTTCTTCTTTTTTTTCGAATTCGACCGAAAACATACTCCTAAAAAGTCCCGAATTCACGAACTAAACTCGACAAATTTGCCAGAAACATGGCCACTCTCGCTCGTCCCATGCTCCCTCTCAAGTCTTGGTACCAGATTACCTCTCATTTGCTGAATGAAGATTTAACCGAGCTCGATACCAAATCGAGCTCGATAGAAAACGTGGCAAACCGAGCTCGATAAAAATAACTGAGGTCGATAAGAGCAGATTGAGTTCGTCGAGCTCGTCTTTTTAATCGAGCACGATATAGTTGAATCGAGCTCGAATAGAATTGACTGCATTTCGAGCTCGTTGAACCGAGGTTGGTTTGAAATGGTACTCGAATTGCTATTCGAGTACGGT